CTTCCTTCCTTCCTTCCTACCTCGCTCCTCTCTCTCTCTCTCTCTCTCTCTCTCTCTCTCTCTCTCTCTCTCTCTGCCTGGATGGATCTTTCCTGTTCTCACATGGAATCTGTTTCCCTGAGTGCTGTTGTTGTTTTTTCACTTTTTTAAGAGAAGAGCGGCCTGAAGCTGGTGCCCTCCTCTCTGCCTCTGCCGTTCCAGCTGTGGGTGACATCCCACCAAAGCTTGAGTGAACTTCAGTTTGCATGTAGGCGTTTAAAAGAACCTCAACGGAAAAGTTCTTCTACCGAGAACCAAAACCAGCAGATTGAAAGGGCCAGCAGAAAAGAATCCTTTTCATTTGGGTTAGAAAATGTGAACGTGCCGGGCAGTGGTGGCACACGTCTTTAGTCCCAGAACCCAAGAGGCAGAGGCGGGCGGATCTCTGAGTTTTGAGGTCAGCCTGGTCTACAGAGCGAGTTCCAGGACAGCCAGGGCTACACCGAGAAACCCTGTCTGGAAAAAAATAAACAAAAAAGAGGAAGAAAGAAAGAGAAAATATGAACGTGACTGCACTCGGGCCACTTCACGCTCATTGACGTTAGAAAGTAGTGAGATCCGAGTGTGGGGTCTTTCTCTAAATAGGGGGCTGAGGACAGCTGCTTCTTTCATTATGATTTTGGTTGTGGAGGCCTGACCTGGAACTCAGTACCACCCCAGCCAGGCTCAATATCAGAGCCTGGCTTTTTAGTCCTCAGCTGTAGAGCAAGGAAGGCAGTATTTAAGATGGGGAGGTAAAGAAAGCTTGAAAGTCACGTGGGTGGGGCATTGGAGAAGTGCATTGACTGCTACACCAGAAAAGTTCCTGGTATGGTTGTCTATTTATTTTTAGATAAATGACCTAGGGAGCCTTTAACATGGTTATTGGTGTTCGGCAACTTTATGGTTTATCATGGAAAGGCAATCAGAGGTGCAAACTCAAATACACAGAGCCAAAGGCATGAATAAGATTCCTGAGAGACTACTGGACTCTAAACATGGGCCACTAAAACCCAAATCAGGAAAGACACTGGACTCCCCTAATGAAGAGATTCACTCCATACTTTGGGAGGAAGATTTGTTGGAGCCAAAGGAAGGAAGGAATTCCACTAACAGCCCTAGGAAATCCTAGCAAGCCTGCCCACTATCATACCAGCACTCTGACTCCAAACTGATTCCTAAGAGGTGGGCTCTCTTCTTCAGTCTTCCACTCTGGACACTGGTGTGGAAACTGCACACTGAGCCTGTCTTCCAGGCTTCAGACTCTTCAGGGCAAACTCCTTTTTCCATGTTCTTTGCAGTCTGTGCAGGCCCCTCATCACAAGGAACCTAAGCACATTCTCTCTCCTAATCGCTTTCTAGTCAGATTAACACTTACTGCCTCAAAATTCCGGTAACCTGACTTCTGCCTCCAAACCACATCAACTCTGTCCCCTGCAATAATCTGCTCATTCATAAATACAGTGCATTGTCATTCATAAATACAGTGTGTTCTTGTATGTCGCTTCCCAGAACTCCTGGACACCAGCAACTGTTCTTCTGTGCTCCTAAGTCTTCAATGAAACTGTACCTCTTCTGATTGTTCCTTTCCCCATGCTTACCTCCTAATTACTGTTGCTAACCCTCTGGATACTTTTCTATTGCAATTTCATCCATTCTTAAAGGCTCCAACCAACGCCTTACATGATTAATCTCCAGATTATACAGCTCCACATGGGACTCTTTCCTTCTCTTCAGTCCTCTTTCCAAATCTTCTGAAGTTAAAGTATTTCTTCCCAGTACTCCAGCCATAAGCTTCACAATCATCTTTTCTTTTTCTTGTTCGGGCCCCACATTTGAGGGCTCATCAGTTTAGTCCTTACCGAATCTCCACTCCCCGTTTCCTAGGTCCATCACTCCAAGCCCCTCTCCTCTTCTGTGACCTGTAGCCTCCATGCTGTCCGCCTTTCCACCTCGTCTTATGTGCTATTGTTCGTCCTAAGACTATAGCTCTGGTCATGTCATGGCCCTGCCAAAACCCTTGAATATTCTCCACTGACAACAAGATAAAGTCCAAATACAGAAGCAATATTAAAAGGACTTTTTCTATCAGGGTCAAGCTTATCCTTAGGATGTTGGCTTTTGCTACTCAGACATCTTTATCCAACTAAACATCTAAGTGTCCTTGGCTTATTCATATTATTTCCATGTACTAGACGGTCTTTCCCCAACATTGCCGTAAGTCCAAATCCTACACATTTTCTAAAGCCAAATTAATATGCCATTTCCTCCCTATGTCT